CGATGAGTGGATAGGCTGAACAATTAGGTATGTCTAGGCAGTGGAGTCGGAAGGAAGGTTGGGCAATCCTACTTCCGTAGCGATACTGCCTTGGAAACCCAAGGAGGGGTCGCTGTGAGTCGGGTTTGACTCAATGGCACATAACAACAACAACAACAACAGGCAGTGGGGAGTGTGCCCATGACTGTATAGGGTTGGTAGATGATGTTTCTATAAGTGTATTTGTATGTGCTATAAGAATACCCAGGTATATAGAAGAGCTGACAAGGAACAGATTGTGGTGACTTCTTGGCCCCAGGAGCTACCTTGAGGGAGCAAGTAGTTGGACCTGTGGCCTGGGACAATGGTTGCAGGGGGACATCAAGCTCAGTTGGCATAACATACCACACAAAAACATTGTTCCACATCTTACTTCGGTGAGTAGCGACTGGGATCTTAAAAGAGTGCAAGTAGCCACCTAGATGCAACAATGGGTCTCTTCTCATCCAGAACAAAGAATAATGAAGAAAACCAAAGACTCATGGAAACAATTAGTCAAAGGGAATGGTAGACCATGCTGTCCTCAGCCTATATGACCATGAGATCAGAACTAGATGGTGCTTGGCTACCACTGTCAACCACTTGGAGGGGTATTGGTGCAGGAGATCCTGGATAGAGTGGGAGAACAATGAGGAACAAAACTCAAAATCATTTTAAAGAAAAGTAAAAGACTAGGTTTGCTGGTCTGATAGAGCCTGGTGAAACTCCTGACACTATGGCCCCTAGCTGTCCTTCAAGTCTGGAATTGAACTCACTCCTATAGCTTTTGGCCAAATAATAGGCATATGGGCTGAACATATACATGAGGTTGATACACTCCTTGGAGAGATCAGTCATGGGAGAACAGAAGGGCAGTGTACACCCAGGGGATAGCTCGGTGAGGAGGAACACATTGGAGGGAAGGACACAGGGAAGAGGTAACTATGGGGAGGAAGTAGGAAGACAGTTGTTACATTGTGGGAAATTGCAGTCAATGTGATGAGACAAAATGTGTATGAACTGCTGTATGGAAAATGAATTTGCTCTATAAACTCTCACCCAAATCACAATAAAAATTAAAAAAAAAAAAGAAAGGAAGTTCTGATACATACTACAATGTAGATGAACCTTGACAACATTATGTTAAGTGAAATAAGTCAGGTAGATAAAGGCCATTTGTTGTTATGATCCCACA